AGCCGTAGAAATTTCTTTAGATTGTCTGTTCGTACGGGACACAATCCTCTGTTGTATTATAATAATAAACTGGAACCACAGATAGAACAGCATTGTTTTGTAGTTGTCCAAACTTGCCACAATCCACAGACTGAATCTGTATCAACGCTACGGTTACAGACTAATCCATGGAAATGCAGTAACACATTTCAGAGGCCTCATAAGTTCCCTTTCGTCAGTAGATCATGCTTTCTTCTAACGTTACAGTAATTTTCTTGATCGCTGAAAACGGTAGCACTGTCGATGGCGTAATCAGTCCTCCTATGGCTGTGCTATAAATAGATCATTTAACAACTTGTAGTGGGCAGACCGATCGTTTATAGAGTTGAACAAAGATAGATGGCACCACGGTAATGGGTTATATACATGGAGGATCATTCTCTCACTAACGAACTTTAAGCATCCGTAATGTTGGTGTTACCGATTGTGGACAATAAAGAGTTGGTAATTTGGAACAGCCTCGGTTGGCATGTGCTCCACTCCAAATTGTATAAAAATCCGGTCATTCCTTTTCGAGTTATTATCTGCCCGAAAGTGTCATTTGTTGGGGCCACGGATAGATGGAACATCATGTTGCATGAACGACGTGACAGTAAGAAATGGAGATGTAGTGGAATCTCCTCTTTGAGCAAAGATTGTGGCTTCTCAGGTAGCAACGATGCGGGGGAAACCTAACCCAACCTAACATAACCTAACCTAACCTAACCTAAGCTAACCTAACCTAAACTAACCTAACCTAACCTAAGCGAACCTAACCTAACCAAACCTAACTTTTTGGACGATTTCCCACGTTTTTTTATTTTTCGAAGATTTTCGAATAATTGAAATTTTTAAAATTTTTTGAAATTTTCAAAAACTTAAAAGTGGCTGCAAATGGCATGAAACGCGACTAACCTAACGTAACCTAACCTAACCTAACCTAACCCAACCTAACCTAACCTAACCTAAGCTAACCTAACCTAAGCTAACCTAACGTAACCTAACCTAACCTAACCTAAAGTCCCTAGAGTCTAGCCAATCCGTAGAGAGGCAATCCTTGGGGTTGCAAGCCCAGTTCGGTCTGCATCGGGATGGTGGAAGCCCCTGGGTTATCCGAGCTCAGAAGGGACAAAGCCGTGGATTTTGAAACATCAGGGGTGGGGGGTAAATCTTCTTTTAAAAGCATTTTCGGGGGGGACGCAAATTCTGGAAGTGGGCAATCCTTGGAGGTTAAGCCACCAAACGCAAGTGGGGGGAGGAGTTAATTAGGAACAAAGCAGCGGTGTTGGCGAGATACGGGGATGGGCATTTCCCCAAAATAATTTGGGAAAAGAGCCCTGCTGGGGGAAAACTCTGGGGTAGAATGTCAAAAGCGAGACGAACTATATCCTCTCATGTAGTTTAAATATTCTTTAAAAATAAAGTAATTATCTGCTTCTGTCTCATGTACATGGCAATAGAGTTTTTCCTTTCTGCGTCTTAACAGAAGTGTCTGGACTCTGTACGCTTTACAGACAAACAACAATTTCATATTATTTATACACTGTTGCAGTTCACATATTTCCATATTCTTTTTAGTTACTGCTGATAAGAATTCCATTTGCTCATTATGAAACGAACGGGTGAATAATACGCACCTGTGCAGTTTAAACGAGTGTTTGTGGTAATGCAATAGTGCACAGAGAAACAAATGCCGATATCATGACTAGAGCTCGCGTATCTGATTTCACTCGAATGCTGGTTTTTCTACCAGTGGACATGACTGTCCGAGCAGGGATTTGTTTTCCCACATTCTTCCGCGGTACCTGGTCACAAGTCTTGGAAAATTCATTAACATTCACGCTTTTCCTCAGGTTAGCCAACAAAACTGGTGTCTTTGCTTGATAGAGTAATTAGAGTTAACGTAAATTAGCCAACGTCACATATGGATAAATTCAAGGAAATTACTAATTATGACGCCAGCTGCAGGCTTTGAATTTCGGACTTAGAACACTTAAGCGCTTAATTCCTGTTGAAAGACCTTCTCGTGCTTTTGAACGCCGAAGCGACAGGTTTGCGTAATCTTCAGACTACTTAACTTAATATCGTAAATTCGGTTACAGTGGTTGCAGTTCAAATGTCAAATTCTTGCCAGGTCTCTAGAATTATTGCTCATTTCCAAACTCGCTACAAGACTTCTGCCAAATTCTGATTCGCAATATGACATCGGAACACAAAATTAGTGCAGTCGGTGCCAAGGCGTTGACAGAGACTGACTAGACTAGAAGGAAAGACACGTTTAAGTGTTTCGTGTGTAACCGGTGTGGGCGACTATCAACGTGTTTCCTGTCTTGAGTAATCGGCGTGCGTCCAGCTTTACGCCAACATGTTGGCTGCTAATTCTGTTGAAAGGTATCGGACTCTCTGTTGAGTTCTTTCGGATGTCTTGCATCTCAGTGGTTCTCTTTCGGCTGTTACGCGGTGTGCACTTGAAAGTCCGTACCAACGTTTCGGAGAAACATATCCTGAAGATGGAAGCAGAATGTTCCACCGAAACGTTGGTATATACCTGTAAGTCTACATGATGTCACAACCCGGAGGACCCAACACCGACATACTGAGATCTATTTCGCTTTCTGCTTTCATTACTCAGCGTACGAGGTGCGATCGGAAAGTTTCAAGACTGCGCCTATAAAAACCCGTACACTTATCTCAGGTATTAAATTCATCCATCACCCTCGAAGTAGTTCCCCTGGGAGTGAACACAACGATCCCAGCGCCGCTG